CCCGCAGGCTCAGGCAATCCACTCATCTCAGCCTCCCAAAGGCACGGGATTACAGGCTGAACCATCGAGCCCGGCTCAGTTTATACATTTTTAAAGGGTTCAAAACAAAGAAGAATATGAGACAAACCATACCCCTCATGGCCTAAAATACTTTTTATCTCTTTACAGAAAAAGTTTGTCAGTCCTTGGCATAGAGCTGTCTCTTTTTATATATATGTATATGTATGTACATATATTATATATATGTATATATAATTTTAAAGATGTAGGGTACAATTCAATTAGGTATACAAGTGGATATGGTACAGGTAAAGCTTGGGCCTCCATTTGGTCCCCACTTTGCCAGGCTCTCCCCACCAGTGAGCTGTCTAAGCATTATTTTTTTTGTTTTTTTTGTTTTTTTTTGAGTTGGAGTCTCACTCTGTCACCCAGACTGGAGTGCAGTGGCCGCTCCTGGCCACCACAGCCTCGACCTGCTGGGATCCGGCGATCCTTCCGCCTCAGCCTTCCAAGTAGCTGGAACTACAGGCGTGCGCTACCACGCCCAGCTAATTTTTTGATTTATTGTAGAGATGAGGTCTCCCCAAGTTGCCCAGGTGGGTCTCAAACCCTTGGGCTCAGGCAATCCTCTCACCTCAGCCTCCCAAAGTGCTAGGATTACAGGCTGAGCCACCGAGCCCGGCTAAGCATTATAATATATAAAATTTTTGATAATTAAATAAAGGCTATCTGTTACTAATCAGTGGCGGTGGGGAGAAGATAAATCTGTTACTGTTACTGTTATTCTCTGGTCTAAACCAAGATGTCAGTTAGTGAAATGGGCACTGGGGAGATGGTGAATATTTGATAGTTTATAAGATGAATACACTTTGCTCTATTTCCAAACACTAAGTATTTGGAAATTAATATTTTAGCAAAAATTATGTTAAAGTTGAATGTTAGAGATGCAAAGAAGAGAATATGTTAACATAAAAGCACAGGGAGGATGAATAAATGAATTTTATCTTTTTTTTGTATTTTGGGGAATGTTCTAGACTTTAAAAAGCTTCATGAGGCTCGTTTTAAGGAAATGGAGTCCATTGATCAATATATTGAGAGAAAAAAGAAACATTTTGAAGAACACAATTCGTTTAATGAATTGAAGGTATGTAGATAAAATTATATTCTTAACGGGACTGAACTATATGATTTTGATGTTGAAGCTGTACAAGTGGAATGAATCTGTTTGAGTTTAACGTACATTTATCTTAAAATTGCTTTCCCCTACCCTGAGAATTTTCAAACTCCCCAGATAAAACAGTGAAACTTCACTAGAGGAATTAATTCTAAAGTGGCAATAAGTCATTCTATTTTCCATAATCAGACATTTTGCCTGTCACTTTGTTGAGGATAGACTAACTAATGGCTGTACCCATTTTCCTTCCCTTGTCCCTTACCCAAAGGAAAATGGGTAATTAATAGTGCCTAGCTTAAAGCGTTCCTATGGTAATAGTTCTCTTCAGTCCAGGTCCCACAAGACTCAAAGCCCTCTAAAATAAGAGAAAGTGGTGAAATCAACTCTAAAGTTAAATTAGCCAAGTAGTGAGTTGGTAGCATCTCAGAAAGTTGATGTTATTGGTAGCTGGTGTTAAGGGAATGCCAGGCAGAGGATGATAAACATTTATTTTAGAAATTAATGATATTTAACAACCTGCCAATTCTCAGAATTTAAGACAGTTTGTGGTTTTAAATATAATATAAAATAGTATAAAGTCAATTTAAAAGGGGCAGAAAGTAAGCACTGTCAGTAAGTACAGTGTCAGCTACCATTAGTCACTCAGCTGAGCTTTGAGTTTTCTGGCAACTAGGTCCAAGAAAGAAACACATTGGGTGAATTTTTTTTTGTTTGAGTCACAGTATTACTCTGTTGCCCAGGATGGAGTGCAATAGCACACTCACAGCCACTGTAGCCTCAACCTGTTGGGCTGAGGTGATCCTTCCGTCTCAGCCTCCAGAGTAATTGGGGCTAGAGGCGTGTACCACCATGCCCAGCTAATTTTTTTTATTTTTTGCAGAGACAAAGTCTCACTATGTTGCCCAGGCTGGTCTTAAATTCCTGGGCTCAAGAATCCTCTCACCTCAGCCTCCCAAAGTGCCGGGATTATAGGCATGTGCCACCATGCTCGGCATCTTATATTTATTTCTGTTCATCCCTATATTTAACCTTAACCCACCCTTTTATTTTTGTGTATATCGATTTTGGTTATCCTATCTCAATTATCAGATAATGAAGTTACATTTGTTCTGCTTGAGACAGATCTTAGACTAATGATAATAAAACATTCGATTACTCTTTGTACCTTGACAATTTCTGAAAAGGATAACCTATAAGTGAACATTTCTTTTCCTCCTGCCCTTCTTTCTTTTATTTAATGTATTGCTTTTAAGGACTTGCAAAAATGCTGTTGTGTATGGGGAGGAGAGGGTGGAATTATTTGTAGATGCCACATACTAATATACAATAGCTGCTTCTTTGAGTTTGTATTTAATAAATTGTATATCATGTTCTCAAAGGTAGCATATTTCCAAGAGAATCTATTTATTCTTTCTGGCTACAAGGGACTGTTTTGCTACACTCTTTCTCAGTTAGAAAATTCCAGGGTATATGACAGCTCAGAAATTATTTCTTGTAAAGTTAGGCGGCCAGACAGGTAGGATAGGACGAGGTTAGGCGGTAGGGAAAGAAAAGATTTCAGGTGGAATAAAACCAGAGGATGAAGAAACGTTCTTCTGTACTTTGCCAAGGAGACAATACTGGATAAAAGGTCAAGCTTTTCTGGTGGTGCGTTTTCTCTTTTTCAGAAGCAGCCCATCAATAAGGGAGGTTTAGTGACTCCAGTAACTCCAAGAGGAAGATTTTCTGTGACTTATACTCCTCTCAGCCAGCAGCGCTTGCATGGCCAGTGTCCTGGCCCTGCAATTCGGAGCCCCTTGGGTCTGGAAGGTTCAGTCAAGCGCTCTGCTCTGTCTGCAGCTAAAACTAGTGTCAGGTAAAGAAGTCGCTCCAAAATATAATCATGAGTAAGATTTCACATGGACTATATAAAATAATGTTTGTTTTTATATTTTTTAATTGACAAATAATAATTATACATATTAATGGGGTACATAGAGATGTTTCAATACATATATGGTGATCAGATCAGGGCAATTAGCATATCCATAGCATGTGCTACCACGCCCGGCTGATTATTTTTATTTATTTATTGTAGAGATGAGGTCTCGCTGCCCAGGTGGGTCTCAAACCCGCAGGCTCAGGCAATCCACTCACCTCAGCCTCCCAAAGGCACAGGATTACAGGCTGAGCCACCGAGCCCAGGTTTTTTTTTGATACAGGGTCTCAGTTTGTCACCCAGACTGCAATAGTATTACTGTAGGCTCAAATGATTCTCCCACCTTAACTTCCCAAGTAGCTGAGACAACCAGCATATACCATCAAGCCTGGCTAGCATTTGTATTTTCTGTAGAGATAAAGTCTTGCTATGTTGCCAAGGCTGGTCTCGAACTCCTGGCCTCAACTTACCCTCTTGCCTCAGCCTACCAAAGTTTTAGGATTACAAGTGTGAAACACTGTACCCAGCCAAACATTTATCATTTCTTTGTATTGGAAACATTCAATATCCTCCTTCTAGCTATATGAAACTGTATATTATTGTTAACTATAATCATCCTACAGTATAAAACACTAGAACTTACTTCTCTTATCTAGCTGTAACTCTGTGTCCTTTAACAAATCTCTCACTATCCCTCCCTTTTTTCTACCCCTTCCAGCCTCTAGCATCTTATGTTCTACTTTCTACTTCTATGAGATCAACTTTTTTTAGCTTCCACATTTGAGTGAGAACATGTAGTGTTTAACATTCTGTGCTTGACTTATCTTACTTAACATAATGCCCTCCAGTTCCATCCATGTTTTCAGGGATGACAAAATTTTTTTTTTTGATCAGTAGTCTCACTCTGTCACCCAGGCTGGAGTGCAGTGGCATGCTCACGCTACTGCTGGGTTCAAGTGATCCTTCCATCTCATCCTTCCAAGTAGCTGGAACTACAGGCATGCACTACTATGCCCGGCTAATTCTTTTTTTCATTTATTGTAGAGAGGAGGTCTCGCCAAGTTGCCCAGGCAGGTCTCAAACCCCTGGACTCAGGCAGTCCTATTGCCTCTATCTCCCAAAGTGTTGGAATTACAGGCGTGAGCCACTGTGCCCGGCCACAAGATTTCACTCTTTTCTTATGGCTGAATAGTATTCCATGGTGTATATATGCCACATTTTATTTCTTTATTTTATTTTTTAATTTTTTTTGAGTTGGAATCTCACTCTGTCACCCAGGCTGGAGTGCAGCTACACGCTCACAGCCACTGCAGCCCTGACCTGCTGGGCTCAGGAGATCCTTCCACCTCAGCTTCAAAGTAACTGGAACTACAGGTGCATGCCACCACACCTGGCTAATTTTTTGATTTATTGTAGAGACGAGGTCTCACCAAGTTGCCCAGGCTGGTCTCAAACCTCTGGACTCAGGCAATCTTCTTGCCTCCACCTCCCAAAGTGCTGGGATTACAGGCATGAGCCACTGCGCCCAGCAAAATGTTTTTTTTTTTTTTAAAGGAGCAAGAAAATCAGGAATAGAGAAAGATCATATAACAGTTTTTATAAGTCCTAATCTTTTATCTTTAAATTTGTGTTTCAGCTTTCCTAAGCATACATGTTAGATTAATAAGAGAGAAAATAAGATATATGTAGATATTTTTCATTTTATTGTTTGCCTGCATGATATCTAACAAAGTTTTACATTGACTTAAACATAAAAGTGAGGCAGAACATAAACATAAAAGTGAAACAGAAAATCTCTCAATGCAGTAAACAAAAAGCTGACTCTTCCTCCAGTCCCAATATTGTAACCCACTGCAATATCACAGGCATCTCATGTCCCATTGATCCATTTCTTAAGACATTTTCAGTATCTAATAGAACTGGTACATGGTGACTTTTCTCCAGTGTGTGCAATTACCTAGCATAGTTTTTTTTTAATGGCCTTAAGTTTGGAATTCTATTTATTGAGTTAGCTTAGAATATAAGGCACCTAAAATTAGTGGTTCTGATTTCATTTAACACTATTTAAGAGCACCATGGTCAAGAGGCTGGCCCTTGCTTCACTGCAATGTCCAAAGTCTAGACTTCATAGCACCTTTCCTAACGTGTCTTATTTTCTTAACTCTATTATATATTCTTTGGTGATACTTTGAACATATTGATTCAGGATCACTATCATATCTTTAGTTATAAGCCCAGAAGTTTCCTTCAATAGCCACACCACCACGAACCCTATGTATTTTTATATATGTCATTACTGGATTTTCATTGAATCTAAGACATCATTGAAGACTCATCATTATTTTATGAACTATTAAGAAAAATTACTTGTCAATTAGCTATTAACATGTATCAATTGTAAAACACATTCCAATTTCAGAGACATTAAAATGTAGAAAAAAGCTGGGCACAGTGGTTTATGCCTGTAATCCCGGTATTTTGGAATATGGAGGTGAGAAGATTGCCTGAGCCCAGGGGTTCACGACCTTGTCTTTACAATAAATAAATAAAAATTAGCCGGGCATGGTGGCTTACACTAGAAGGCCCAGCTACTTGGAAGGCTGAGGTGGAATGATCCCCGACACAGCAGGTCGAGGCTATGGTAGCTATTAGTGTGCCACTGCACTCCAGCCTGGGAGACAGAGTGAGACTCCGACTCAAAAGAAAGAAATCCATTTCTGGCGCTTTACCACAGGTAGAGAATAGGCTTATTTCTCTGCCACTGAAATGAATGGCATACTTCTAGGAAAATATAAGATCTGTTCTCACCTAGTGTAGGTGTCTCATCTAGCATAGCAGTCTCCTGCTACCTCTAACTTGTCACCAGAAGGAGGAGCAGAAAGAAGGGGAGCTCTGCAGACTGTCTCTTCAACTGTAACTTGAGGCCTACAGATATATTCCTTGAACACTGCCTTAAACTGTCATTGGTCAAGGCAGGGAAAACAGCCAATAGAATATCTTTTACAAGTAAAGGAAATTGGTAAATGATTTACTTCAGTATTCACCTTTTAAAAACATGTCTGTTCTATTAGCCAGCCATGGTGGTTCACGCCTATAATCCCAGCACTTTGGGAGGCCAACGTAAGAGGATTGCCTGATCCCAGGGGTTTGAGACTAGCCTGGGCAACTTGGTGAGACCTCATCTCTACAATAAATCAAAAAATTAGCTGAGTGGCACGTGCCTGTAGTTCCAGCTACTTGGAGGGCTGGGGTGGAAGGATCACTTGAGCCCACCAGGTTGAGGCTGCGGTGGCCGTGAGCGTGCTACTGCACTCCAGCCTGGGTGACAGAGTGAGAGTCTGACTCAAAAAACAAAACAAACAGAAAAAGTTCTATAAAAGAAGTCCATTCGTATAACAAGTATTTACTGAGATCCTTTCACTACTTGATGATGGTCAAGTGGTTTTTGTTGTTGTTATTTATGTATGTATATATGTATGTATTTTTGGAGACATGATCTTGCTATGTTGCCTAGGCTGCTCTCAAACTTCTGGGCTTAAGCACTTGTCTGGCCTTGGCCTCCCAGAGTGCTAGTGGGCCTCCCACTGCACCTGGCACAAGTGGTTTCATTTATAAACTTTATACAAGTTACTTTTGCCACAAGTCTTATAGTCTACCATCCTGTTTAGGTTTTCAGCTGCTACTAAAGATAATGAGCATAAGCGTTCACTGACCAAGACTCCAGCCAGAAAGTCTGCACATGTGACGATACCCGGAAGTACCCCAAAAGGCCAGGCTGTGCTTGGGACACACAATTTAAAGACTACCAAGGGGAATTCTGTTGCTGGTAAAAAAAAAAGTTTAAGCCATGTCACTTCCGAGAATTATTAAGCATGTCTGTTTCTTTAAACCCTCTCCACGTTTATAAAATCAAAAGCAAACATTTTTGCATTACATAGTTTTCATTTTATGCTGTTGAGGAAAATGCCAAAGACACAAGCAAAACTGTTATCTGCCGGAGGGCTCCAGCCAATCCTAAAATGGTGACCTTCCCACAAGAGCATTGTGGGACTCAAGGAGAGCTAGGAGTCATTGAGCAGTAAGCATCTACCTTCATAAGCTATTAGGCTCACAAGTACTTACAGGTAAAGGTGTGAGGCCAAGACTAAATGTTTACTACATTCTGAGCTCTCTCCTATAAGTAATTCAGGGATATACCCAGGTGGGCGCAATAGTTTTACTTTCATTGTTCTTCCAGTTATCAAATACAACTTTTTTTTTTAAATTTGGAGTCTTACTGTCACCCAGGCTGGGGTAGTTTGCTCACAGCTACCCCAGCATCGACCTGCTGGGCTCAGGCAATCCTTCCGCCTCAGTCTTCCAAGCTGCTGGAACTATAGGCACCCGCTACCATGCCTGGCTAATTTTTATTTATTTTTAAATTTTTATTGCAGAGATGAGGTCTCGCTAAGTTGCCCAGGCTGTTCTCAAACCCATGGGCTCAGGCAATGTGCTCACCTCGGCCTCCCAAAGTGCTGGGATTACAGGCTTGAGCCACCATGCCCAGCCTACAATTTTATATAAACAAAGCCAAACTATTATTTCTTCCTATGATTTGCGTCATTCAGTCAGCATAATGTTTCAAGAGTCAACCTTCTTAAGTCATTTTGCTGTCATTTAAGTGGTGTGGATATATTTCAGTTTATCCATTTTACTGCTCATGGACATGGAGGTATTTCTAGCTTTCGTTATATGTTGTAACTATGAACACTTTTTTTTTTTTTTTTGCATCGGAGTCTGTCACCCAGGCTGGAGTGCAGTGGCACATGCACAGCCACCGCAGTCTCAACTTGCTGGGCTCAAGCAATCCTTCCGCCTCAGCCTTCCAAGTAGCTGGAACTACAGATGCATGCCACCATGCCCAGCTAGTTTTTGTGATTTATTGTACAGAAAAGGTCTCACCAAGTTGCCCAGGATGATCTTGAGCCCCCGGGCTCGGGCAATCCTCTTGCCTCAGCCTCCCAAAGTACTGGGATTACAGGCTGAGCCCCACCGCTCGTGGCCTGATATATATATATATGTTTGTTTGTTTTTTTTGAGTTGGAGTCACACTCTGTCGCCCAGTCTGGAGGGCAGTGGTATACTCATGGCCACCCCAGCATCGACCTGCTGGGCTCCAGTGATCCTTCTGCCTTAGCCTTCCAAGTAGCCAGAACCACAGGCGAGTGGTACCATACCTGGCTAATTTTTGACTCACTGTAGAGACAAGGTACTGCCAAGTTGCCCGGACTGGTCTTGAACCTGTGGTCTCAGGCAATCCACTCTCCTCGGCCTCCCAAAGTGCTGGGGTTACAGGCTGAGCCACCAAGTCTGGACTGATATATAACCTTTTTTTTTTTTTTTTGAGTCGGAGTC